GCTCTTCTTCAGCCTTGATAGTGATGCTAATCTAAAGAAACATCAGATCCTTCTCTACAGTCTGTGTTGTTAGCAGTTGTAGCAATGCTCTGTTTACATGCAGACATTMCCCTTTGACATCACTTCCTRTTAATTCATGTGAAAATATCTCAACAACTGTTCRTCTCAGTGACGTGATTTTTATTTTTTTTGGCGATATGTTATCCATGTTATATTTCCAAAAWTACATTCATAATTGTCACAAARATTTGATGGCACAGGTGCTTTAAAATGTTTACGAGTAAAATTTTGTTCAGAAACCTAGAATTTAAAATCTGAAACCACACCTGAGAGCAGCATGGGGTCTTTGTCCACAGATTTGCGCACGTGGTCCGACTCTCCTGTCAGGGAGCTCTCGTCGATCTTCAGATCGTTGCCTTGGACCAAGACGCCGTCCGCCGGCAGCAGGTCACCTGAAGGACGGATTAAACACATATTTGTGTCATTTTAYGGTTCAACTGTGCCAGCACAGCTCTGTCAGGACTTCCTGTTATTCTGTTCGATTACCTCTCACAATATCAGCAGATTGTTTTTGTGCAGATTCTGAATATTCTATTTTTTCATGGTTTTCATTATATAAAGCGATGAACWATTCATCTTAAATCTGAATTTATTTCAAATAAAAGTATCAAAAGGAGCCAAAGATGACAAGTAGGAGCTATTTTACTTATTCATAACCTCAGAATAATAAAAAAGGTAAACTTTTTGTGTTAATTTTCCTCCATTTTTACTTTAATCCATAAGATTTTCGTATTAAAACATGTTTTGTTGCTGAACAGAGACCAGTTTTTTTTTTTAATACTGTAAATAAAACTATAAATAAAGCTAAATGAAGCGTGTTTTTTGTACCGTATTTGACCTGAGCCATGTCTCCCACCACCATGTCAGCCACGGGGATCTGGATGACGTTTCCTTTCCGGACCACGGTGAACTTCTGCTCCTGCTCGATCCGACTCTGCAGACCCCGGAACTGCTTTTCTTTGGACCAGTCGTTGAACGCCGTCACCAGGACGACGCACACGACGGACAGCAAGATGGCGGCGCCCTCGATCCAACCGGCGTCGGCCTCCCCTTCGTCCTCTGCTCCCGCGCTCACGTTCCCGCACGCTGAGGAGACGAGACAGCTGTCAATCAAACCTTTACTGACACTGAGTTTGGATTTAAAGTTCATTTTTCRAAGGTTTAAAACAGAGGTGCYCTAAATCGGGTCCRCGGGCCAAAATTGGCCCACTTTGAATTACACAAAAGACATTTAGATTAGATTTAAGCACACTTTATAAGACCACAAATACTTGTATTTTATCAATTTCTGAAATGTCCCATGAGCCTTTGCTGCCAGAGCATAAGTCAAACTTTGTCCAAGTGCACCAGCTAAAAACAAACACACAAACAAACAAACAAACAAACAACTGCTAGCTTAAATATAAAAAATAAAAGGACTTTGTTTAAAAAGTATTTCATGCATTTAGCCTGCAGCCCTCAGACAGATTTTAATTTTGTTCCTCTCGGGGAAAAGTTTTGGGCACCCCTGGGTTAAACGCTTCTCAAAAAGTTAACACGTTTGAAGATGAGATGTGTTAGCATCAGTTATGTCTAGCTTTTTGATACATTTAGCTTAAGACATACTTTTGCTACATTAAAGCAAMTTTTTGATAACTTTTTCTACTTATAAACAGCTTTGTGTTACATTTACAGTAGCTTTTAGCTAGCCATTTGCTACTATTAAATTTTAGACATCCTTTTGMTAGATTTATAGCAGCTTTTAAATAACTTTCTCTACTTTTAGACAGCTTTTTGGTACATTTACAGCAGGTTTAGTTGACCTTTTGCTAATTTYAGACAGCAAAGTTTCTACAATTACAGTAGCTTTTAGCTAGCCTTTTGCTACTTTTAGCTTAGACATTCTTTCGCTACATTTACAGCATCTTTTAGCTAGCCTTCTGCTACGATTATATTTAAGACAGCCTTTTGATATATTTACAGGAGCTTTTAGATAATATTTTGCTACTTTTAGACAGTCTTGCTACATTTACAGCACCTTTTAGCTAGCCTTCTGCTACATTTAGTTATGTTTAGCTAGGCTTTTGCTACTTTTAGACAGCCTTTTGCTAATTTAAACTTTTAGACRACCTATTGCTAAATTTACAATATCTTTAAGCTAACTCTTTGCTACTTTTAGCTTTTAGACAGATTTTTTTCTACATTTACAGTAGCGTTTTGTTATCTTTTTGCTCCTTTATGATGGTATTTTGTTACTTTTAYAGTAGCTTTTAGCTAGCCTTTTACTACTTTTAGCTTCAACCTAGCTTT